CCAATTACTCGGGACAAGAGTTCTAAGAATTAGAAAATCACATTTATTCACTTATTTTTTTGTGAACTAACATAAAATGATATCCCCTCTTAATAAGCAAGCAAAGAAATTAGGAGAATAATTAAAGAGTAAATTGCACAAACATAAGCTTGCTTATCCCATAACTTTCATATTCAAATGAAAGTGAAGAAAATTATCAACTATGCACTTTCACACACAATCTACTTTACTTAACACGATACACTTTCCTAATTTAGTAACACCATAAACATAGTGAAGGCATTCCAAATCATGAAAATCATGAATTTTTTCAAAATCAAATATGCAATTTCTCCAAAATTGGGAAGTTAATTAATCATCCTAGCTCCATATTTTATATATTTTGATATTTGCTTCAAAAGTTTTGGAGAATTTTAAAAACTTTTGATAGAGTTTTTCATTATAAAGGACCAAACTCCTTGTCATCAACCCAAAATTTTCTCCAAAAATAAAAAGGTAGGAGTGTAAATTAATAAAAATACTCGACCCGAATTTGTGAGTAGCTTGGTGACTGAGTTTGAGTCGAGTTTGAGTAGAAAAAATTAAAACTCGAGTACTCATTGAGCCTTTTGAGTAGTATATCTATAATACCATTTTAATTATTTATTATAAAATTATGAAATTTACTAAAAATTTAGCTTGAAAACTCAATTGAATTCGATTAGACTTATTTGAGCTTCATTGAGCTTAATTTGGTTGAGATTGAGCTTGACCTCAAGTAAAGTAAAATAAGCTTAAGGTCGAGTTCGATCTCAATTTTGAAGAACTCGACGAGTTCAAGTTCGAGCTCAAAATGAAGTATTTTTACTTGAGCAGGGCACGAGTAGTGTATTACTCAAACTCGATTGGATTCGATTGCAGCCTTATACAAGAGGCATAAGTCTAAATATTGCAAACAACCAATGATATGGGCCCTATTTGGCAGCTGAGTTTTTCTCTTAGTTTTTCATCTACTATTTTTTTTGACAAATTTAGCAATAAAAATATCAAAAAACCCCTCAAAATTTTTAAAATACACATTTCAAAATACCCAAAAAATTACACAAATTTTTTTTTCTTCTTTTTTCTCCCCCTACCTTCATCTCTATTGTCAGCCAGCACCAGTGTTGGCACCAATGTCTCCCATTTTTTTCTTTCCTTTTTTCCATACTCCATACAACTAGTAGTGCAACCAAAGAGGGAGGGAGAGAGGAGGAGGAGGAGAAACAGGAGAGGAAGAGAGGGAGGAAGAGAAGGAAGGGAGGAAGAGGAGGGAAGAGAAGAAGGGAATGAGGAGGAGAAGAAGAAGGAAAGAAAGAGGAAAGAGATTAAAAAAACAAGAAGGGTGAGGTGGTGACGACTGTCAACAGTGGTGCAGTTGGCAGCTAGCAGTGGGGAAGGAGGGAGGAAGGTAAGAAGAAGAAGAAGAAAAGGAAAAGAAAAATAAATAAAAAAAGAACATTTTCTCCAAACCTCAAATCTACAAAAGTTTTTTTTACAATTTCTACAGTAAGTTATACTAAAAGTTTTATATAAGCACCCAAGAAACTTACCATCCAAATAGGACCAGTATTTTCTTTACAACTTGAGTGTTTGTAAGCATCATGAAACAAAATGGTATGGATTTTTAGTTTATATTTTTATATAACAAAAGAATTTAATTGAAGTGCATTTAAACATTTGTAAAATTTTCAATATCAATTATGAGCATTTGTGGTAACTACCATACAAGATATGTACTTTAGACATGGCTAAAATGTACAATCTTTTAGACATGGCTAAAATGTACAATCTTTTTCTTCCTCCTTCTCCCTCCCTGTTTTGTAAACCCCTCCCTTTCCCTACTACCAAAAAAAAAAGGAATCATAAAATTTTCCTACATTTATCATTTATTATGTACAAATTTGAGTACAAAGTATATTTATAGTTACTATTTTAACTGTAAGAGTTCTCTCCATTGCTTCATTCTTGCTTTCCAAAAGAACTAACTACAAAGGAATGGAATTTCATAAATGATTCACAATTACTTAGTTAAAATAGTTAATTTTGTAATTTTATACATTGATATCGTTATCATGACATCTTTACTAATAATGGCTTCGACTTAGGCTTAGGAAGTTTGCAATTGAAAATTTTTTAAATTCTAGTACAAACTATGCATTGAATATTAGTTTAGGGTAGATTACGCTAACCTCTCTTCAAGTTCTAGCAAAAGTTAGAATCATGCCCTCTTTATTTCCAAATAATATGACCTCCCTTATCATTACTTTCATCCACCTAACAGTTATGATAATTTTGACTTTAAAAGTTTACTCTTTATTTTTCTTGTTCACGTTCTTTATATTAAGCAAAAAGGAGAAAAAGTTATAATTCTCTCCTAAAAGGAAGAAAAAGTAGAAAAGAGAGATTTATTCATGGAAATTGAAGACCTATATTATTTATTGTTTCAACCTTTTTATTTTTACCAATCAAAATAAAAAGGTATGTACATGTACCTATTTCTATAATAAAATGGATTAAAATGAAAATTAGATGTCTCCAAACTATACACTTGTCAAATCCTTTAATCTAGTGAAATCTCAAGTCATATATACATGGATATGAGATATGGAATCAAGATATAACTTAATGCCAGGTTAATGCACAAAAAGGGGAAAAAAAAGAAAAACTAATGTATACCTACATTAAAAATACAATAACTTAATTGAAAATTAAAAGATAAAATTGATGGAGGGCCAACTTTTACAGCTGTACATACAATGTCATCAATCCTTTTCAATTATAAATTTTGATGAAAAGAAATTCTAACACATCCTATTCTTTTTATTTTCTTTTGGAAATAATTATTTATATCATTGTAAGGGCATTTTGGATACAGTGAAGTGAATTTATGACAAAAATACTTATTTCTCTCTCTTTATTAAGAGTAGGGACAATTTCTTATGTTTTCTCACAAATAAGATGGAAGATTCTTATAATTCTAAATTCAAGAAAGGTCTTTAACTTTGATAAAAGTAGAGCGGAGGTTAATGTAATTTATCCTTAATTTTATATTTTAAAGTAAGACTAGAAATGTCAAAATAATATACATGACTAGTGAAGCATAATGTTGTCAATATAAAAGAAAAACCAACAAAAAAAGGGGTAAAAGTTTGTATGCATGTAATATGCATACCTGTGGCTGTCTTCAAGACATTAAAGTGTTAAATGTGTTACAGATTTTTTTTTTTCATTTTTCCTTTGGGTATTTGCTATTGTTTGATGCAGTGTGATCTTTTGGTAAGATAAAAATCAACCTAAGAAATCAAAGATGATTTTTCTTAGGTGCTCTAAAATGTGGCTAATCATCACTGTTTGATCACATTTTAGGGATATGAATTGCAATTGCTTGAAAATAGCAAGTTGAATACTATAATTTTTCAAGGTTCGATTCAATTATTAATAAATTAGGACTCAACTAACTTTATTCTGCACAAAATTTAGGAGTTGTTTGGTTTCTATAAAGGAATCAAACTACTATACTAAAAATTTTCCTAGTGACTGGTTTATAAACTGAAAAAAAAAGAAAAAAGAAAAAGCAATTAGTTAGCATACTTGGTATTCTTAAGGTTAGGGAATTATAGTGCTTTTAATTTTCTTACAATTCCACCTAATAAGTTTTATCTAATGAACACGACATCCAACTTTGCAGAAATTTCTGTTGACTATATATATATATATATATATACATTGAATAATTGAATAATTAGCTAGTTGAATATCGATAATAGAAAAAGGTACCCATCTTAATTTTCCATGTAAAACATAAGTAGTTAAGCACATAATCTATCAGTACTTACTCCTATGGAATATTTTTATAATACAAATTGCAATATGTTAACTTTGATTTCTGTTGAACATATGTTTATTTTTCTTCTTTTTGTCGTTGAACTGGTACACATGATCAGAAAACTAAACAGAATAGACAAGTTAAGCATATAAAATGCAAAATTTCTTTTGGAAAACTATTTTTGGATTGATACACATTTCCTAATTGCTTGTATAATAATATTATTAATTCTTTTGTCCAAAATACCACTCCACTAGTCCTTAATGTTGTAGTAATGAAAGCAGCTTTCCTCACAGTTTCTACTTTCATTGCATCTGTCATGGTAAAACAATGAGCTAGTATACTTGCATGTTTAGCATGTAAAATTGAAAATAAAAGCAAAAAATGTTTAAACGAAAAGTAAATAAAATTTTAATTTATGTTTTATCATCTTTCTAACTCGTTGAATGTGGTTTCTCATGTCTAGTTTTGTAATAGTCCTTCTACTTTGCACATTGTGCTAATCAAAGGGTATATATAGTTAAATAATTGAAAATTGAAAGTTTCCTACATCGGTTATTTTTTGAAGGGTTGGCCATAGACCATTAGTCCCATCCATGGTGGAATTTTTGCTTGGTAACCACGCCAAGACCTTTAGGTCATGGGAGTAGTATGTTATGGAGAATTGAGTCAACGCCCTTGGTAGGGAGATGAAACGAGAAAGCGACAGCAAGGCACGCATACATCGAGGTTGTTTTGGTTGGAGAGAGAAGAAGTGAAAAATAAAAATGGTTTTTGTGAAACAGTCGGTTCCAAACCGGAGGCTAACATGACGTAACAAAAAGTTGAATTCAAAATGGAATGACCCGCGAGAAGACTGGCAAGTTGTACAACTGTTCAAAACATCATGTCATTGTAATAGAATGCAGTCCAACGCCGGAACGAAAATAAATAGGGTGATAGGGGGAGGGGGATAATAAAGAAGGGAGCAGCGTGAGGAGAATTATAGAGTGTCTGAGAAGGGGGAAAGAGAAGGTGAGGCATTAAAGAAGGTTGGAAGAACAGAGAGTAGTGAAGTCGGGTGGAAGTAGTTGGCAACAAAAAAGAAGGGACCAAAATAAGCTGAGAGGGGAGAAAAGAAGAGAGGAAGGGGACAGGGAGGGGAAAGGCAACAATGAAGAGGACAATGAAGTAAGTGCAAACGAAGAAGTTGGGCACAACAGTTGGTTAAAAAAGGTTTGTTTCTCGCCAGACAGAGAAACGGCGAGGTCCGAAATAATAGGTACGTAAAAGTATTGAGAATGTTTGTAAATATGTGATATGTATGTGGCAGACGTGTGTGCGTAGTGTATGTGTGAGAAATGTATGTCTTGTTGAGGAAACAACATAGTTTAGGATGAGGACAATGTTATAGAAAAGGATGAGAATAGCTCTGAGAAAGCAAATAGGCAGCATGTGATAATGGGAAATGTTAGACCGGCTATGAACATAGTATAAAATTAAGCGGAACGAGATAAAAAGGTAGCGAAAGTTTAAAGACAGCATGAAAATAGGATTGGGAGTTACACTGGCTGAATGTGAGCAGTAGATGAACTATAGTTTTGGGTAAAAAGTAGGTTCTGTGTAGCCGAAATGGGTTACTAGTTTAAGGATAGGGCAGAAAGAAGAAAATCGAAGTACATGCTTTGAAAATGTTTGGTTTGTGAAATGTGCATGGGGGAGCAGAAATAAATGAGGGGAACACTTGCATGATAATGGTGTGAATGTCTTTGTGTAACAGGATAGAGCAAGATATGGATGAAAATGGCCACCGCAAAGGGAAGGGACATAATTTTGATCTGAATGCATATGCACATTGTGAAGATGACATCGTAGCTTGGAAGTGGATGTGCGGGGAAATGGGAGTCGAGGACAGCAAAGCAGACGAAAAAATGAATAATATGGTTAACGGAGGTGCAATAGATGCCGAGAACGTGGATGATCAGCAAGAGATAGACCTGATGACTATGAAGTTTGATACCATTGAGGATGCTGAATGTTTCTATAACATATATGGTAGGGCCATGGGGTTCAGCATAAGGAGGGGGTATGCGAAAAAAGACCTGGAGGACGGCACGACTGTGAGGTATAGGTCTTGGGTGTGTAGTAGGGAGCGCGAGTGGGATGAGAAACACATTCTCCGGAATGATCGGAAAAGAGAGGCAAAAGCTGTAACACGGGTGAACTGTGGAGCTTGCCTGAAAATAAGATTGGATGATAATGAAGGGAAGTACATAGTGTCTTGCTTTGTGAAGGAACACAACCATCAGTTGGGCAATCATGCAAGCATTCCTTTCATGAGGTCGCACAGGAAGGTGGCAGATAGCGATTAAGCTCAAGCGCATACATTTCAACGAGCCGGCATTAGAACAAGTCAAATAATGAAGCTTTTTGTGTTGCAAGCCGGAGAATATCAGAATGTGCCCTTCCTTATAAAAGATTTGTATAATAAGATGAATTGCGAGAAGTTGAGAGAGATAGCTGATGGAGATGCAGAAAGGGCTATTGGGCGCCTGGCTGCAAAGAAAGAAACGGACAACAATTACTATTACGAATACTGTTGTGATAGCAAAGGACGATTGACACGGCTGTTGTGGGCTGATTCATGGTCTCAGATGGATTACAAGTGCTATGGGGATGTACTGGTGTTCGACTCCACGTACATGACACAGTCTTATAAGATGCCACTGGTGGTACTATGTGGGGTGAACAACCACTACTCAACAGCAATATTTGCATGTGCTTTGATCGCTGACGAAAATGAAGAGAGTTATGATAGGGTATTGAAAAAGTTTGTTGAGTGCATGGGCGGGAAGGAGCCAGTTTCAATTGTCACTGACGGTGACAAGGCAATGAAGAAAGCTATAAAGAAGGTGCTTCCAAACGCGGCTCACCGTCTGTGCAGTTGGCATCTAGAAAAAAATGCAGGCCAATACGTGGGTAACAAACAATTTCTCCAGGCCTTCAAGACATGCATGTTCATGAATTGCTCACAGGACCAATTTGAGTTTGAGTGGGCTAGCATGGTAAGCAAACTTCATCTGGGGAACAATGAATGGGTTAAAAAAATTCATAAGAAGAAAGAGCAATGGGCAGTTGCATACTTGAGGGGCAACTTCTTTGCTGGTATGCGCAGCACTCAGCGATGCGAGAAGATGAATGATGTATTGAAAATGTACTTAAAGCCAGAGTTTAAACTTTTTGAATTTGTTCCAGCGTTTGATTTGGCAATTTCCTGGCTAAGGACTGAGGAGGCTCGGAACGAAACTAATACCCAACATACAACCCTGCTGCCAATGTTTTTAGTAGACGAATCTTCTTGATAGTTAGAGAGCAATTGAAGAGCCAGGGAATATACTACCGAGTCGATGGCATTGATGATGGTGTTCAATGTGTCCACATGATTTCACATTCTTACAGCGGTTCAGAGTGGAGGGTGCAGTACAATAGGCATAGTGGAGAGATGAGGTACTCGTGCATGAGGATGGAGAGTCTAGGCCTGCCGTGTGGCCATATGTTTAGGATAATGGTGTTCGAGGGAATGAGAAAAATTCCAGATAGTTGTATAATGAAAAGGTGGAGTCGCATGGCAAGGGATGGCATTGGAGGAGATTGGGAAGGACAGCCTCCCGATACGGAAACCCTAGAGATGGGCAGGTATGCTGCACTGGTTGGAGCATGTAATAGTTGGTGCTACTATGCTGCAAAATCATCTGCGGGATTCAAGCATGCCATGGGAGTGATTCATAGGGAGACAAACCATGCAAGATCATTGTGTATGGCGAAGGCAACAGATGCAGCTACCCTGTTAAAGCACGAAGCAGGTGGGTAACGGGGCTGCAAATTTGGAGTGCTTGATCCTTTGATTTGTAAAGCAAAGGGGGATCACCAGACGAAAGAAAAAGGCAGACTGAGCAATAAAAAGTGTGGAAACTGCGGGTGTGTAACATATGCTATTGTCACATTTTTTGTCAGCAAACGAGAGAGCATGCTAATGTCGCCCCTGAGCTGGCATGAAATTTGCTTGCATTTTTTTTTGTCTAATGACGAATGCAATTGCTTGTCAAATTTGTAGGTCAATAGATGGGTACAATAGGAGGACATGCAATTCCAGCCCAAAGAACACGGCATGGCATGAGATAACAAGTGCATCCTACGATGGCGAGCATGGTTGGACCGCAGATGAAGATGCTGGTTCCAGGCATCAAAGTATCATATCTCATTACGGGGTTCGAGTCTGTTCACTTTCGGAGGGGCAATGCGGCAGCTTGATTCAGCAGCCTTCGTATGAATGGAACCAGAAGGTTTACATTGAATGGAGCGTATCCTCTTTATTCGTTTAGCTAATTTATGTTATGTAATGTGAGATGCGACGATGGATAGTAAGATGTTCTAAGTCTCCTTGTTTAATGTTTACATGCAGGGTTTTGCTGGTGTGCAGGAAGGGAGATGCAATGAACTAGATGCAATGGATGCATTGGAACTTGCCGAATGGTGAAGCCTTCTTGCCATTGGTATTGCCCAGATCGCCAAGGCATTGAATTATTGATTATTTCAATATTTAACTTTAGTGTTTATAGACATTAATCACTACTTTTGTTTAAATATAGACAATTGACACAAGGCATATGAATGTCATGACAACCTTGCAAGTAAGGTCCAATTCATTCAGTATTAAAAGCAATAAAGTGATTTGCAAATTAAGCAATTAAGAAATGTAAGATATAAAATTTGTAATTGTATTAGTGCTATGCATTATATAATGTACATGTTAATTTCATTGCTTGAAAAAGCGACCAAATGTGTGATTCTTTTAAGCCCATGTTAGCTGACCTGTTGATGTCACTGGGCTGCTGCACGGGCAAACACGCCCCTACATGGAGTCTGAAATTGGGCTGGGCCAGTTAGCCCTGGCCACCGATCTTCCATATGTATTGAATGGAAATGGTGCAGGTATTGTTGGAGGAGAGTACACAAACAATCTCTGATCTTCAAAAAATAACCACCTTGGAATTGACAGCTACTAAGAAGTTCGGTAGGGCTGAGGCGCGTAGAACGCTCTCTTTAAGACGATACACGCCCCTACGGTATTTTCAAACCGATGCAGAAGGTCTAGCGCGCCGCCTCCAGGATACAACAGCCCAACTCTATAGTTGTTGTTTCCCTTTGATCTGCACAACCAAGAGAAGCAGAAGCTTCCCAATATCTTACTTTGCCCAAAGAAAATAGAATGAGGGAGAAAGAAATGAGTGTGAGGAAAATAGTATTTAGAATGATTTTTTGAAATTGTATCTTGTTGGGGCGCATATCGTCTTAAAATTGTTGGTTCTAGACCAAATTAATCATATAAGTAATAGTAATTTCTTTGTTAAATGGTTGTACAAAATAACGCTTTTATATGATGGATGTCTTCTGCGACAATTGTTGATGTAATTGTGGTTTAAGGCCTCATTATTGTTGATGTAATTAGTGTAGAGTAGGGCTGCAAACGAGCCGAACCGAGTTGAGGTTTGAGCTAATCGAGCCGAGCCTCGACTGAATTTTACCAAACTCGAGCTCGAGCTCGAGCTCGACGAGCCGGCAATTTCAAGCTCGAGCTCGAAAAAAATAAAAAATAATTATTTTATTTTTTAAAAAATAAATAAAATAATATTTTTTTGTTAATAAATAATAAAATATTAAGGATATATACGTAATTTTACTATAAAAATAAAAAATAAAAAAATTATATATAATATACGTAATTATTTATTTCTATATTCTTACGACTTTTATTTAATTAGAGATTGGTAAATGATGTAGTGGTAAATGAGTTGTATGGACTTCATTTACCAATCTTGTTAGATTAAGTAGATGTACCATGGAGTTTTCCAATGAGTTTACCAATGAGTCATCCTAAATGATGGAGCCAAGGGGGGCAGAGGGGGGCCCTGGTCCCCCCTAAGTTTTGAAAATTTTAATTCATAATATGTAAATATATGTGTAAAATAAAATCGACCCCCCCTAAATTTTTACAATTTTAGTGTATATTATGAGAGTTGATATATATATATATATATGAATTAGTCATCGAGTGGAAATATTTGTTGCAATAATTGATTATAAATTGCAAGAGTTACATAGCAGGTTTAATGATCATACCGTGGAATTGCTTGTTTTGAGCACTGCTTTACATCCTAGAAATGGATTTATGCTGTTCAAGATTGATGATATTTGTAAACTTGCAGTGAAGTTATATCCGAATGAAAATAGTTACATTTTCTAGCAATTGAAAATAGTTCTATCAATTGAAAATAGTTACATTTATATTACATGGTTATAAATGTGTATATATATATATATATATTGCATAGGTGCCATATTGGAAAACATCTTCTCATATGTATACAATGTTAAGAGGGACATCGTAACAATTTCGATATCGATTTCACAAGTAAGGTCTAATATTCATGAGCAACATTTCATGATGGTATAAAACGATTCATGTAGTGCGGTTGGCAAGGTTTAATTTTAGGTGAATATAATCACTAATTTTGACCAAATGAAAGGGGCTATATCACATTTTTAAATACAATCTAATATGATAAAGCAAATACACTCCATGCTCGAATTCGGATCCAAACTTGTACCCGAATTGCCCAAACAAGATAAACACAGTCATGTGTTGTCGTGCCAATGGGGAGGGGCCCCCACTCCGTTGCCTATTAATTCCCCCTACCCCCGCCCCCACCTTGCTTCCCACGGCCCGACCCACAACTTGCCGCAGGGACACTCGTACATTACTTATTTGATCCCCAAATTTATTCATAATTCAACACATTACTTATGTTCTAATCATTTTATGGTTTAATTTAACTGGCATTTATTTGATCACTTATACCTAGAATCCTTAGTCTATGATTTAAGGAACACATAAAAAGTGATTAATTTAAACTATAATAAACTTAAACTGTACAATGATTAGTGATAATTTATGAATTTATAATTTACAATGATTAATAATACGTAATATTAGTTACAAACTTACAAATTATAATAATTTTACAAACTTATAATTTATTTCAAATCAAAATAAAACTTATTTACTTACATATGTTATTGTGAAAATCAATACACTAATACATTGATTTGCAATTCACATGCATTCACTTACACTGCTTAGTTGTCTTGTCTATACTTAAAGTTTTAAGATTAGTGAATAGATAATATGAATTTTTATGTTAAATATGTAATACTATAAATTTAGAGCACACTAACACTTGCAAGTTACAGATTACGCATTCAAATATTCAATAATTCAAACATGAATGATCAATGATGTATCAAATTACCA